CAGACACAGGTTCAATCCCTGATCCGGGAAGATCCCACATGCCTCGAAGCACCTAAGCCCTTGCACCACAGCTACTGAGCTAGTGCTCTAGAACCTGCAAGCTGTGACTATTGAGTCCACGTGCCACAACTAAGAAGCCTCCTTGCCAACAGCCCATGCTCTGCAACAAGAGATGCCACTGCAACAAGAAGCTTGTGCACTACAACTAGAGAAAAGCCCATGCAGCAACAAAGACCCAGCACAACCAAAAATAAATACATAAATAAACAACCAGTTTTTAAAAATTCTTAAATGTGTCATCACATACTGTGGAGGGGGTGTGCATAAGTATATTGAGACTTGTCAGCTTCTTCCTTATTTTCCAAATGAAGTGTCATAGGTAGTGTCATTGATCTACACCAAGACTAAGCTAAAAATTCCATTTCAGGGATTTTCATGGAATATACTCATCTGTTTTCAATATGTAGGAGGGTATTGCTCCACTATTTTGTTTCCTATTCCACTTTTAGATTTTTCTGTGACTAAATTCAGATGTGTGGGGTGGGAGTAGGAAACTTTGTGCTGACTAAAAGGTAGACATTTGGCTTTGTTAACTATAAATGAATAGAAAGGGAGATTGAAAAAGTAAGGGAAAGTCTGAGAAAGGAAGAAAGTTTTGGTGTAACCTATCACGTTTTGAATTAGACGCCAACAGAGGTCCATGTAGTCAAAGCTATGGTTTTTCCATTAGTTATGTACAGATGTGATAGTTGGACCATAAAGAAGGCTGAGCACTGAAGAATCAATGCTTTCAAACTGTGGTGCTTAAGAAGACTCTTGAGAGTCCCTTGGACAGCAAGGAGATCAAACCAGTCAATGCTAAAGGAAATCAACCCTGAATATTCACTGGAAGGACTAATGCTGAAGCTGAAGCTCCGGTACTTTGGCCACCTGATGTGAAAAGCCAGTTCATTGGAAAAAACCCTGATGCTGGGAAAGATTGAGGGCAGGAAGAGAAGGGTATGACAGAGGATGAGATGGCTGGATGGCATCATTGACTCAATGGGCGTGAGTTTGAGCAAACTCTGGGCGATCATGAAGGACAGGGGAGCCTGTTGTGCTGCAGTTCATAGAGTCACAAAGAGTCAGATGTGACTGAACAACAACAGCAATACAAGAGGTGGAAAGGTGTGGTACCAGCCTTCCCTCTGCTTGGTTTTAGAATCATTAGAAGTCAGTCCCATCTTCTGTTATTAGACGGGGATGGAGTAAACCCAAGGGAAAGACAGTCAGTTGGGTTCTTCAGCAGCACAGAAGTTATGTTGACACATGTATGAGGAATCTGTCCCTTGGAACGCCTTTAGCTGACATACTGTGAGTTTTTCCTGGTCCTGACTTTTATTATACTCCTTTTCTACTCTTTTCCAAGAATGGAAACTACTCAGTCTCCACCACAATGATGCTCTGAAGGGTTAGGTTTTACGGTTTGAGATTGTTGTAATGGCAGCAAAGGAGGGTCAGCATCTTCTGCTCCTTGGAGCCTTCCTGGGAGAAGGCTGTCGTGGTTTTGAACTAGACATTGTGCAGCTGGGGGCTTCCCTGGGGGCTCAGACGGTAAAGCGTCCACCTGGAATGCGGGAGACCTGGGTTCGATCCCTGGGTCGGGAAGATCCCCTGGAGAAGGAAATGACAACCCACTCCAGTACTCTTGCCTGGAGAATTCCACGGAGGGAGGAGCCTGGTAGGCTACAGTCCATGGGATCGCAAAGAGTCAGACACGACTGAGCAACTTCACTGGTTCACTGGTTGTGGAGGTGGAGTTCATTTATAATTTCTAGTTTGAGTTTCACTGGGCCATCAAGTTAGTGCCATTTTCACTGTCTTCCATGCCTTTTATCAGCCACAGTGAAGATCTCACTCAGGTTCCAAGCAGAATGATCAAAATTCTCTTTCTATTTGAATTTCCACAGGAACAATAAAATCAGGACTACGAGGAAATTGGATTGAAGTTAGAGACATCAAGAATAGTTGACGTTGGTCTAGATAGAATGATTAGAATATTAGAATGATTAAAATACTGTTAGTTGTCTATGGCTAGCAGGAGGAGGTAAATAGGTATATTGACATTGACAGTTCCAGACCATGCAGTTCAAGTTAAGGATCGTGCGCGCCAGTGAGAGAGTTAAGAGGGAGAGTGGGGAAAGGTGGCAGAGGTTGGGGAGGTACTGGACTTTGGTGTCTTGAGTGTTCTGATTCTATTCTTCTATTGCATTCTGCAGATATAGATTAAATATTTTGCAGTATGGACAGAGGTTTGTAACATTGTACAGGAGGAGGTGACCAAAACCATCCCAAAGAAAAAGAAATGCAACAAGACAAAATGGTTGTCTGAGGTGGCCTTACAAATAGCTGAGAAAAGAAGAGAAGCTAAAGGCAAAGGAGAAAGGGAAAGATATACCCAACTGAATGCAGGGTTCCAAAGAATAGCAAGGAGAGATAAGAAAGCCTTCTTAAGTGAACAATGCAAAGAAATAGAGGAAAGCAATAGAATGAGAAAGACTAGAGATCTCTTCAAGAAAGTTAGAGATACAAAGGAAATATTTCACACAAGATGGGCACAATAAAGGATGGAAACGGTAAAGACCTAACAGAAGCAGAAGAGATTAAGAAGAGGTGGCAAGAAGATACAGAAGACCTGTACAAAAGAGGTCTTAATGACCTGGATAACCATGATGGTGTGGTCACTCACCTGAAGGCAGACATCCTGGAGTCAAGTGGGACTTAGGAAACATTACTATGAACAAAGCTAGTGGAGGTGATAGAATTCCAGCTGAGCTATTTCAAAACCTAAAAGATGATGTTAAAGTGCTGCACTCAGTATGCCAGCAAATTTGCAAAAGTCAGCAGTGGCCACAGGACTGGAAAAGTTCAGTTTTCATTCCAATCCCAAAGAAGGACATTGCCAAAGAATGTTCAAACTACTGCATGTATGCAGTAGGATGTAAAACACTCATTTTACATGCTCGAAGGGCTTCTGTGGTGGCTCAGCAGTAAAGATTCTGCCTGTAATTCAGGACTTGCGGGTTTGATCCCTGGGTTGCGACGATCCCCTGGGCAAGGGCTTGGCAACCCACTCCAGTATTCTTGCCTGGAGAATCCATGCACAGAGGAACTTGGTGGGCTACACAGTTCATAGGGTCACACAGAGTCGAATACAACTGAAGAAACTTAGCACATATTCACGCACATGCTAGCAAGTAATGCTCAAAATCCTTCAAGCTGGACTTCAACAATACATGAACCAAGAACTAATAGATGAACCAGCTGGATTTAGAAAAAACAGAGGAATTAGAAATCAATTTGCCAGCATCCGTTGGATCATAGAAAAAGCAAGGGAATTCCAGAAAAATATCTACTTCTGTTTCATTGAGTACACTAAAGCCTTTGACTGTATGGATCACAACAAACTGTGGGAAATTCTTCAAGAGATGGGTTACCAGACCACCTTACCTGCCTCCTGAGAAACCTATATGCAGATCAAGAAGCAACAGGTAGAACTGGACATGGAACAACGGACTGGTTCTAAATTGGGAAAGGAGTACGTCAAGGCCATATATTGTCACCTGCTTGTTTAACCTTGTTTAACTTGTTTAACTTGTTTAACTTGTTTAACTATGCAGATTACACCATGTGAAAAGCCAGGCTGGATGCCACCTTCCAATGCAGGGAATGCAGGTTCGATCCCTGGTTGGGGAACTAAGATCCCACATGTTGGTGTGCTGCAACTACAGAGCCCTTGCACCACAGTGAAGATCCTGCATGCTGCAACTAAGACACAACACAGCCAAAAATAAATAAACAAAAAATTCTTTAAAAAACAACCTATGGTTTTTCCATTAGTCATGTACGGATGTGAGAGTTGAACCATAGAGACAGTGAGAGCTGAAGAATTGATGCTTTTGAATTCTGGTGCTGGAGAAGATTCTTGAGAGTCCCTTGGACAACAAGGAGATCAAACCAGTCAATCCTAGAGGAAATCAACCCTGAATATTCACTGGAAGGAATGATGCTGAAGCTCCAGTACTTTGGCCACCTGACTCATTGGAAAAGACCCTGATGCTGGGAAAGATTGAAGGCAGGAGAAGGTGGGGGCAGAGAATAAGATGGTTGGATAGCATCACCAACTCGATGGACATGAGTTTGAGCAAACTCCAGGAGTAATAAAGGACAGGGAAGCCTGGCGTGCTGCAGTCCATGGGGTCTCAAAGAGTCGGATACAACTGAGTGACTGAACAACAAGTATAAATATATTTTTTTTAATATACAGTTTTTAAATTTTATTTATTTATTTGTTAAAATTTTTTGGCTGTGCTATGTCTGTGTTTCTGCATGGGCTTTTCTCTAGTTGTGGTAAGCAGGGGCTGGGACACATGGGCTTAGTTGTCCCAGGGCATGTGGGGGGTCTCTCTGGGTCAGGGACCGAACCCATGTCTCCTGCATTGGCAGGTGGATTCTTTACCACTTAGCCACCAGAGAAGCCCTTAGTGTCTAATCATATTTTTTATATTGTCCTTCTAGCGTGTTTCTTTATTCCAATACAGAGAAGCAGGAAATGTGCATACTTAATTTAATTAGTAGTTCTTCATGGATTTAGATTCCGGAGGAGAACAGATATTTTCAACAGCTGTACCTAAAGGACTATACCACACAATGGTGCTCACCCTTAGTCATGCTGTTCTTCCAAAAGTTCCCTAAATAGTGTAAATTTTTTAACATAAAATATGAGATATTTTGTATTTATCGACATTTGCATCTTGTCTTTTGGTACAAGTTTTCTTAGCAATGAAATATAACATTAGCTGTGTCATTAACGTGCATCTTTTTTGAAGGGAAAAAACCCCAGTAATTCCACGTCTGTTTTGCTCTAAGGATCTTTTATCATATAATTTTTGATATGCTGTGACTCAAAATATGCTCTTCTCCTAAACTTATCTTTTCCTTTCATTTCCTTTAAACTCAAGACGGTGCAGCATAAGCTGGCAGAATTAAAAACATCCATATGTGTAGCCAGAGCTTTTGTGGACAGCTGTCTCCAGCTGCACAGAGCGAAACATTTGGACCTTGCCACTGCTGCCATGGCGAAATACTGGTATGCATGCTACGGTAATGAAAATGTGGTGTTTGCACAGGCTGTTATGGAATTCTTCCAAAGTGAAACTCAGCCTTGACGGTCTTAAAGGAAGAATGCTGAGTAAATGCAAACTAGCAGTAAGGACCAATTTTTAAAAAAATGCTGAACATTGCCATTAAACCTATTTATAATGTGCTAAAACTTTACCCAAGTTACTTTTTAACTTTTAGCTTACCCTCGAAAAGTAAATATTAAATATGATGACTAATTCGTTATTTCAAGTAGTAGTTCAATCTCAAATTAGCTGGAGTGGTGGTAGAGTAAGATAACAAAAGAACAGTAATAGCTGCAATTCTGTCACTACATAGTTGCAATTAAATTTAATTATTTCTTAGCCAACATTTTGATATCTGTGAAATGAGTAGATTGCAAAAGATTTTTCTGTTTAAGAGGTTTTCTAGACCTCAGAAAAAATTTCTGAAGTTTTGACTGGCCAATCAAAAGTTGTACATGCTCTATGAAGCAAAAGAAAAAAAAGTGTTCTGTAAGACAACTTTCAGGGACTTCTCTGGCCATCCAGTGGCTAAGACTCTGGGTTTCCACTGCAGGGGTCTCAGGTTTGATCCCTGGTTGGAGAAGTAAGATCCTGCATACCTCATGGTATGGCCAAAACCACAAACCAAAACAAACAAAAAAATTTTTCGTTTTCATTAAACATGATTAGCAATGTTATTAAAGATGAGTTAATTGAAAAAAGACCCCCCCCCCAGGCCTTTTGTGTATTTTAAGATGCAAGAACATAGTTTAAATCAGATTCTGAAAGTGGGTTTTGTTTCCTCTTTTAAAAACAAAACATTCTCACATCTCATTAGCCCAAAAATAACCTGGAAAAAATTCCTGTTGTTATTCATTAACTTGTGTTCACTTCAGTGAGAAGTAGAATGAGGAAATATGCAGAATAGTGGTTTATGTAATGACTCCAAAATAATAAACTTACCAGGTTGAAAAGTCATGTGGAATTACTAGGAATTAGCATTTTAGCGGGGAGATACTTTACATTTACATTTATATCAAGTTTTTTAACTAGGGGAAATAGTGTAAAATTTTTAGATATTTTTGGAAAAAGACATTTGGATAGCTGGTGGCCTTATTGTTCCTTGAAAATATAGACACACTGGTATTTCATATTGGAGAAGAGGAAGCAACTACTTATAACCCAGCAAATATTTCACTAAAATACTTGTCAAAGACAAACATGTGTAGAATTCCAAATGTCACCACCCCCTGAATCTTGTCTGTTAATCATTATATCGTTACTGTATTTCTCAGGAACATCTTGACCTGTCCTATGGCTTGAGTTAAAAGTTATTTTTTATAGGAAAATGGGTCTTATGCTTACCTTTGTTTTATATTTCCCACTATTGAAAGTAAGTTGAAAAGATTTTGAACTAACCAGTTATTTTACAGATTTTAACAGTAGTTAAAATTCTTGTGATTATATTAGAAAAGTATATATTTTTTAAGCACCTCATATTAATATACATATACTTCAGAAATAGTAATTCCCCAATAATCTTTAATAAGTGTCCTAGATGATAGTATGTGCTTTAATAGAGGTCTATCCTCTTAGGTTTTCACTTTTACGTTCAGTTTATTTCTGAAAACCCTAAAACATATTTTTTATAGTTAAAAATTCAGAATTGCAACCTTTGCATAGAAGTGATATATTTGAAGAAAACAAATACATATTACACAAGGCAAAAGAAAATAGGTGACTATATAATTTTTCTGCTAACATATCACACAGAGAATCTGAATAAATTAGACCAGAGTCAAGTTTTTACTATATTGTTTTTAGGCTTAAAGTAGTCTAAATTTTCTACATTTTGTTTCTAGACTTAACGGAAACCCAGCCAGAAATATAGTTGATGAAGAAAGTATTCATTATATGAAAATACTCTTGAGATTTATTTTACATATAATTTATATCAATCTTCTCTGGTTGACTGATATGCCTATTTTTAATTGTTTGATAAATGTATGCATTTAAACAGTCATTTGTTTTCTGGTTGTAAAGCATCTAATGAAAATTCATTTTAAATATTCCTTTTCTGCTTTTTATTTTGGACATCTAGGGCATCTGATGTGCAAAACAGAGTAGCTTATGACTGTTTGCAGCTGCATGGAGGTTGGGGATACATGTGGGAGTATCCCATTGCAAAGTAAGTAGGCCTGTTGTGTTAGGCTTTTCTGGGTGGTGTGAAGAAAAAGGAAAACTCCTTTACCTGTCTTTTGTACACCGAGTATAGAGGGAAAAGAGGTGCAAAATCTTTGCATTTTTCAACTGCCTGTGGAGTGTGTTCAGGTAGATAGAAACAACTTCATGTTAACAGCTTACCACTAGGATTTAATCATTTTTTTAAAAAGTGAACATATACTTCAGTATACAAGATATTAAATATAAATAAATATATAATATACTAAAGCTTTATTTGAATCATTATTCAGAAGGATTAGTATCACTTTTATAGTCTAATAGTATTTTACTATAATTGTTTATGTTCATTCAGATTTTTTTTCTAGTTTTTTACTGTGACAAACAATGCTTCAATAAACACTTTCATACGTTTATCTCAGATACATGTGTTTTTCATTATAACAGGACAAAGTCCCAAAAGTAGTACTGCTAGTTCAAAAGTATGCATATTTTACATTTTAATGCATTTCCAGATCATTTCCTCCAGTTTGAAGCAACTCATACTCAAATGAACAAAGACTGAAGATGACTTATCCGCTTAAGTTATGTGCTTAGTTGTTTAAGTTGTGTTTGACTCTTTGCGACCCCATGGACTATATAGCCTGCCAGGCTCTTCTATCGATGGGATTCTCTAGGCAAGAATACTGGAGTGGGTAGCCATTCCCTTCTCCAGGGGATCTTTCTGACCCAAGGGATTGAACTCAGGTCTCCTGCATTTCAGGCTTATTCTTCACTGTCTGAGTTACCGGGGAAGCCCTTAATTTGCACTGACTATTAATTATTTTGTTTTATTTTATTTTACTGTTGTTAAGAGCACTTAACATGAGATCCACCCTCCTCACGGAATTTTAAGTGCACCGTACAGTATTGTTAACTCTAGGCACAGTGCTATGCAGCAGATCTCTGGAACTTATTCATCTTGCTTGACTGAAACTTTATGCCCATTGGTTAGTAACCTCCCATTTCTCCCTCTCCTTAGCGCCTGACAGCCACCATTCCTTTTTGAGTCTATGAATCTGACTACCTTAGATACCTCATATAAGTGGGATCATGTTGTATTTGTCTTTCTGTGACTGGCTTATTTCACTTAGCAGAATGTCCTCAAGGTTCATCCAGGTGGTGACATATTGCAGAATTTCCTTCTGCTGACGATTGAATAGTATTCCATTGTATGTTATACCACAGTCTCTTTATCCATTCATCTGTCCATGGACGTACAGGTTGATTCCACATCTTGGCTATTGTGAGTAATACTGCATTGAACAAGTGAGTGCCAGCATCACTTGGAGGTCTCGATTTCAATTCTTTTGTATAAATATCTAGAAGTGGGATTTCTGGATCATAAGGTAGTTTTATTTAAATTTTTGAAGAACTGCTGTACTGTTTCATAGCAGCTGCTGTGCACCACTGTGCATTCTCTCTAACAGCTGCTGCTGCTGCTGCTGCTAAGTCGCTTCAGTCGTGTCCGACTCTGTGTGACCCCATAGACGGCAGCCCACCAGGCTCCACCGTCCCTGGGATTCTCCAGGCAAGAACACTGGAGTGGGTTGCCATTTCCTTCTCTAATGCATGAAAGTGAAAAGGTGAAAGTGAAGTTGCTCAGTCGAGTCCAGCTCTTTGTGACCCCATGGACTGCAGCCCACCAGGCTCCTCTGTCCATGGGATTTTCCAGGCAAGAGTACTGGAGTGGGGTTCCATTGCCTTCTCTGCTCTCTGACAGCAGTATGCCAGTATTGCAATTTCTTCATCACCTCAACAACATTTGTCTTTTGGCCTTTTAGCTCATAGACAGATGTGAGATGATATTTCATTGTGGTTGATTTACCTTTTCCCTGGTGATTAGTGGTACAGCATTTTTTCATATACCTTTTGGTCATTTGTATGTCTTTGAAAATACCATTTTTTTAAAAATTAAAAAAAAATACACATTACAGAAAAATTAACCTACATGTGAAGTCAATAAAAAATCTTAAATTTTTTTTATTGTTTATTTAGCTCTAAAAACAAAAGTGTTATTTTTTTTCTAAGTAGAATTTGTATTTCCTTCAAATTAAAATAACTACAGCCTTTGTATTGTATTACATGTGAATATTCTTGTTACCATTTTGAAGCAGTTCCAGTTTGTCAATAGGCAGCATCCTCTTCTATGTTTCTTCCTCCATCTTCATAGGTTTTTCTTACCCTCTTCCTGTAGTCTTTGCCTTAATAATCCCTCCATGGCATTTCTCCTTCTCATTGCAGAAAATATATTTTTCCTCTTATTTGGCAATATTTTCAGCTTATATAATTTTCCCAAGGAAGTTTTTGCTATGTAGAGAGAAGTCCAATTTAGTTTTGAATCTGAGAATGAGAATGCTGTGAGCTTCTAAAAACTTCTTATAACATTAATCTAAGTACAGAATATCTAAAAGGGAAACAGTATTAAACTAGCATCCAAACTTAGTTTCAAATTTATCATTTTGGCAAGCATAACTGAAGACATTTTATTCGCTTATAGTCCTTAATAAGGAAAATAAACATTGTATTTAAGTTACATTAAGAACAGAAGCTCCAGAATAGATGTAATTTACTAATTTTCTGTAGCCACTGGGTAGCTCAGAAAGCTTTAATCACAGGGTATATATAATTTATAACTTTCTATAAAAACTCAACAAGTAGAATATGTTCCTTCCTTTAGAATGTAGGCATGAAGTAACTAACTTATTTCCTTTTCTTTATCAATCCTTGGACTTGGGTTTTGGTATATCCTTTCAGAACTGCTTCAAACAGGCCTTAAACAAAAGCAGATTTTTTTTTTTTTTAATCTTTGAATAGTCATGAAGTTGGAAGTAAACTGAGTTATGCTAGCACAAATTAAAGCATTGCTGGGATTTTTCCTGTGTGTTTTTATGTTTTAGTCACAATATTAACTCATCTTATTTATAATATCGACAGTGCTTAAGAAAGTAAAATAATAATGGGTGTTAATATTTTTCCGCTAACTGTGCAGTTCTAACTGCTTCTGGGAATGTAGACAGTGTCATGGTTCAGTGATTGTCTAGTTTAGTTCTGTCCCTAAGAAAGGCATTTAGGTGAAGACAAGTCAGACATCCACATGGTCCAGGATTAGAGTATAGCATACGTCTTGGTCTGTTTTCTCAGAGGCAATTCCATCAGATCAGGAGCAAGCAAAACTGGTATTTGAAATTTCTGGTTTCAATTTGAGAGACATACTTCCTTTCAGGAGTAACAATCCCCTTCTTGGCCAGGGTCTTAGTTTGAAGACTGTATGAACTTTTAAACCAGAATGTTTTTTTCTCTCCAAAGACAAAGGGAAAGAACTTTTCATAAGATGACGAGAGAGTAGTGGATAATATCAAAAAAGCTAATCAGATACGTTAGGCAGTATGTGGATGAAGTATACAGATTTTGATATGATAGAAAAAAAATCATTCTAGTGGTGTTTTTTATATCTTAAGGTTAAACTGTATTATTTGTGTGTTTGTAAACTCTGGGAGTTAGTGATGGACAGGGAGGCCTGGCATGCTGTGGTCTATGGGGTTGTGAAGAGTCAGACGTGACTGAGCCACTGAACTGAACTTATGCCCCTGCATGTTGCTGAGTCTTGGTTTCACAGATCAAGGAGATGCTTTTTTGTTTTATTTATTTTTTTCCTGTTTGTATAAAAATAAGTGATTTTAAGTGTGAGTTTTACTTTAGTCTTACTCATTTGGCTTGGGGCTATGAGAACAGATGCTTAAGTTTTGCCATTTCAAGACCTGTTTGCTGGGAAGAACAGTGTGAGATAAAGAGCTTCATCCCTGTTGGTTAAACATTCCTTCTGCTGCCTTCTGTATTTTAGTTGATGACTGAATTTAATTAATAACTTATAAAAGGCCTACTCATCTCTGTCAATTACCCACTCCATTGGAACTTCTTTAATGTGAAAAAAAATGTGCCCAACTCAGTCCAAAAAGATCCAAAAGCATTGAAATTGCTGAAGTAGGCTGAAATGCCAGATAGGTTCTCTAAATGAAAGGTCTGGATTTTGTGGGCAACAATGGAATCTGTCCAAAAGAAAAAATATATTTGAAAACACAAATGTCTCTAGATTTCAAGTTTCATCAGAAAGTAGGTATTGAGACTTGAAAATTCCTTTGTAATACAGTAAATCAAATCAATAAATACTGAGTGCTCAAGTGAGGTACCATTGCAAGGTACCATGATGAACTTGGACAAGGAGAAGTTCAGAATTGGTCATGTTCCTAGAGAGCCAGCACATTTAATTTCTTAAATTAAATTTTAAAAAAAACAGTTTAAGGCTTAAAAATAAATGCCTTTGAATTTGCCTACTAGAAAACTGCAAAGCTCAATAAATAATCTTACATTTCTGGACCAATGAAAATAAATATTGATATAATTAAAAAGATATTTGCCAAAGTGGCAAGATACCTACCTTTTCATTCCAGGTTGCCAATGATCTATTATGTGACCATTAAATAGCAACCATTAATTAGTATATGTACTAACTTTTCAGCACCTCAGTTCCTTTACCTGCAAAATTAATAATATTTACCCTCCTTAATTCCAGAGCTGAGAGGGTAAAATGAGATAAGATAAAAACAACTATATAGTGTTATGTTTGCTGTCATCACTACCAAAAGTAAACTCTTTTTTTATAGCAGTGTGCTCAGTCACTCGGTATTTTAAACTCCTACATTACTGGGGTGATTATTAATCATTTCCAAAAGTAAGTTACTTGTTAACTTTGTGAAGTAATAATTTTCTGAAGCATCAATTTATACTGCTGATGGCAGCAGTATTGGTGGGAATCTAAAGGATGTTAGAAAATATGTACTTTTCTCTTTTTTTTAAATAAAACCAGTACATTTCAACTTTTGGGGGGAAACATTAAAGGTAACAAACTATTAAGACATTGCATTCATTTCTAAATTTAAAATAGCACTTTTTAGGATTATATGTGCTGAATTTTACAAAATTAAAATAAACATACTTAGAAATGTTATTTTGAATTTGTACTCTCTTCAAGCAAACTAAAACAAATCTATGCAAATGATCAATATCTGAATAGAATTTTATAATCATACCAATCTTGGATGAATGCCATACTGAAAAAAAGTAATTTATGAAGAACTTTTATTGTTTCAATTTCATTAAATGAACACTGTAATTAATAGTTACCTGGTGAGACAAAATTTATAATTTCTAATATCCTTTGTTTACTCCTTTAATCATCTTCTTATTTATCCAGAGCTTATGTGGATGCCCGTATCCAGACAATCTATGGTGGTACCAATGAAATAATGAAGGAGCTGATTGCAAGAAAGATCATCCATGACCAGTAGACATCTGCCCACATCCTGGAATCCTATTACAGCTAATCTGGTTTTAAATCTACTCAAGACAAAATACAACCCAGAAAGGGAGGGAACACTAAACAAGTTTTTATCTGTTCTCCATATAGAGAAAAATATCAAATACAAATATAAGATTAACACCGTGGGGGAAGAAATCTTTGAATCCAAAGATCATAAAGTTTTCCAATATAAGGTTTAAACTGTTAATTTTTTGCATAGCTAAATGGCAAAGATTCTCTGATTCTAGAAGCCTTAATGTTTCATTTATCTCTAAAATTCTAAAAGAGTATTAATGCTTCAGTCTTTAAAATTGAGGCAGAAGTAATTTTTTATTATACTATCAAATTTTTTATGGCACATTGATTTTGAAAAAGAAGAATAAATACAATTGACAATGCAAAATGTGTTTAGATATCTTTTATTCCAAGTTCCCCAGAACAGTGTTTCTACCACCCTACCCCTAAACCTGTTTTTAAGTAATGAGACACTTTCTTCAGTCCAAAGCTTATGCGAAGTTCTTGTGAAATCTTGATGTGTGAAGCGCTGCTTAGGTTGAAGCAGGAAGCCTCCTACCTTAGGGCCTTAAAACCACTAGGACTCAGCTAAGCAAATCCCCACAAGAGAATTCCACTGGTTCCTTAAACCACTGACACCTGGGCTTTCAACAGATTTCCATCCCAGTTTAATTGCTAGGAGAGCACACCATTATCCTTAATAGTTTCAAGATATTGGTATATTTTATAGGTACCAAAGCAATGACTCTTATTTGGGAGCAGTATAATTTTTTAATTAATTTAACAGATTTATACTTTGTGTTGTCATCTATAATCCAGGCTGTTAAATTGCTGAAAAATATGATTTAAAAAATTGGCAAGATCCATAAGTGAATAAACAAGTTGTCATAAAGTAAGAAGTAAATAAACAACAATTTCAAATCATGATAAAGGTAATAAAGGAAATGAAGTATTTTAAATAGGAAAATGAGGAAATGACATTTAATTTAATTATTACCAAAAAATAGGCCATTAATTTGTAAACTGCCAGCATCATTTTAGTACTTGTTTTCCTTTGCATGTATTGGTGAGACAAAGAATAAAGTAGTTTTTAAGTGGAAATAAATGTATTCTCATTCAACCTAGAAAATCTTGATATTTTATTTGGTGTTGTGGGTATTAAACATTGTTTTTTGATGCAGTCATTACAACTGGTTAGAGCAGAGAGAAGAGAGAATACTTTTATACCATTCTGTCCTAGTGTCTTACATAACTTTGATTTGCTCTTGGGTAGAACTTTGTATGATTGACAACTTGGGTTCTTGCTCAGTAAATCTTCTACAAAATGGGTGAAAATAAATTCTTATTAGGTATTACTGTATTTGTCGCTTTCACCTCACACCAACTGCCAGGGAGCAATAGAGAATTAGATCCAACACCCCACCCAGCCCCAGCTCCTTTCCCAATCTTAAAGGAAACTAGATTTTAGGAATTAAACATCTGTAGAATAAACAGTAAAGTAACCTAACAGGAAATGCTTACTATGTAGAGCTGGACAAACCTAGATTTGAATGATGACTCTTACCATTTAGCAGCTATTGGACCTTGGGCAAATTCTGAGTCAGGATTCTTTCAGGTGCTAATGACAAGGAAATCCAATTCAGACTATCCTAAGCAAAAACTTGAGTGTGCTGGCTAAAATGAATTGTAGAGTAGTTCATAAAATCTAAAGAACTGTAGGGAGAAGGCAATGGCACCCCACTCCAGTACTCTTTTCTGGAAAATCCCATGGATGGAGGAGCCTGGTAGGCTGCGGTCCACAGGGTCGCTAAGAGTCGGACACGACTGAGCGACTGACTTCACTTTCACTTTTCACTTTCACACATTGGAGAAGGCAATGGCAACCCACTCCAGTGTTCTTCCCTGGAGAATCCCAGGGATGGGAGAGCCTGGTGGGCTGCCATCTATGGGGTCACACAGAGTCGGACACGACTGAAGTGACTTAGCAGCAGCAGCAGAAGCAAAGAATTGTAGGCACTTAAGAGCCTGATTTTGGGATTTAGAACTGCCAGCACTTAGACTGTATCCGTTTATCTCTACTTTTCTTTACAAATTGGCCCAATGGACACTGCAGAGAAATTTCAATACAGGGCCTGTAAAAATAACCTTGGGCTGCCCCAGCCTACATCTCAGCACAATGTCGTCGTAAAGTGGGGGGAACGTGTACTGTGATTGGCGCTCATCAGGAACACAGACTGGGAGAAGCCATTCCTTAAGCAGGGAGTCAGTTCAGTTCAGTTCAAAAGGTGCCATGCATGCACTGATGCATCCCGGGAGTAGGTTCTTGTAATTTGTATTTATCAGAAGGTAAAAGGATTGTTAAGGTAGGATATTTCCTAGAATGATCCCTGAAAATCTGTTTTTCTATTTCTTCTAAGCTAGTTGTTTATCTGACAAATTCAGTCTTCTGTTGCACTCCCTCCAAAGAAGCAAATGTTGTATCATGAACTTAAAGCATAAAGCAAAACAGGGGGCTCAGAGTGTGTTCCTTAGCTTTTTATTTAATTTTCATTTCTTCAATAGCTAATCTTCATATTTTGCTTGTGTGGCTTTGATTGTTGTCTCCCAGGGAAGGAATTTAGCATCTGTATCTCATGCAGTGCTAAGTGCTCAAGAAATGATAAATAATAATAATGCTCAAAAGAACAGACTGGACTGACACAGCAGGAAAGCCACACTGTGTAAATAATTAATGAGAATGAAAAGGCCTGAGTAATTTTGGGTTTTGGCTCAGATTTTTAAAATCATAATTATTGCCCTAAAATTATTTTTGCCCTTTGTTTCTTTGATAGTGTCATTGAAAATGACAGTATATAAAAGAAGCTGTTTTGATTTGCTGTTTTAAAAATCTAACAGCAAATCTTTACTAATCTAGTAATTTTAGTAGTTTATTGCTCACGGTGTAAGATTTCTAGGAGGCTGCTTTTTTCATATGTCAGTATTATTTTTGGCACACACAGCATTTATTTATTTGAAGTCATTGGAAAGATTTGACATTGAGGTGGAAGTCAACTGTAGGCTGATCTGTCTTCTGCTTTATAATAAATGTTGAAAAGGAGTTCTTTCAAATATCCTGTTTTGAAATCTCATTATCATGACAGATTTTAAGAAAAATTACATAAAGATTCAAGCATACTCAAAAATAGTGAAAGTAGTGTAATGAGCCTCTAGCTTCAACATTTGCCAATGTATCGCCCCTAAATTTTTCAATAATTTTGAAGTAAATCCCAGACGTAATCCTATTTCACACACATATATACTTCAGAATGTGTGTCTAACGGATTAAGTTTTTTTATATATAACCACAAGGCCATGATCATAATTTAAAAACTTTAAAGTATAGTTACAGATTAACAGTAAATTTTTCTTAGTTGTATCAAGAATGCCCTTTGTAGCTGGTTTGTTCAAATCAGGATCCAAGCAAGGTCCACAGATTGCATTTTTGGTTTTGTCTTCTACATCTCTCACTTTCTTTCTCTTTTATGTTTTGGGGTGGGGGGTTGTGGTTTGCTGTGCAATGTGTGGGATCCTGTTTCCCTGACCAGGAATTGAACCTGTGCCCCCTGCAGTGGAAGTTTAGAGTCTTCACCACTGGCCTGCCAGGAAAGTCCCAAATACTAGGCACTAGTCTTTTTCTTTTAACTTTAAAAATTTTATTTATTTTTGGCTACACACAAGTGCCTTGTAGGATTTCCATTCCCTGACCAGGGACCGAAATTGGGCCACGGCAGTGAAAGCCTGGAATCCTAACCATTAGACCACCAGGGAACTCCCTCTTTTATAACAGTCTTCTCTTCTCTCTTTTTCGTTCTCCCTTTTTACACTTTATTTTTTAATTAATATACAGCAAATTTGCTTGTTTTGGTATACATACATATGATAAAACTGTCGTTTTTTTTGTACTCTAAGTTTTAGCATATATATATAGATTTGTGCAACCACCACCATAATCAGGATACAGAACAGTTCTATTATACCAAAAAAACTACCTCTTTCCCATTATAGTCGCATCATTTCTGCACTTTTAACCCCTGGCATACATGCATGCATGTTCAGTCGCTCAGTCTTGTCTGACTCTTTGCAAACCTCAGACTGTGGCCTGCCAGGCTCCTCTGTCCTCTTGCCATTCTGGAAAAAATACTGGAGTGGGTTGCCATTTCCTCCTCCAGGGGATCTTCCTGACCCAGGAATTGAACCCACGTCTCCTGTGTCTCCTGCATTGGCAGGCAGATTTTTTACCACTGAGCCACAGGAAAGCCCTCTAACCCCTGACAACCGCTGATATATTTATTGTTTTATTATATTTTTGTCATTCTGGGACTCATATAAATGGAATCACATAATATGTAACTTTTTAAGAACAGCTTTCTCTTAGCAAAATGCACTTACGTTTCATTCATGTTGTGTGAATTAATAGCTCATTCCTTTTTCAGTGCTAAATAGTAGTTCACTGTATGGATATACCACAGCTTATTTATTCATTCATTTTGATTGCTGAGGAATTTTGGGTTCACAGAGGTAAATGTATGTTTAATTTTATAAGAAATTGTAGTTATTTTCCCAGAATTCTTGTGCCACTTTGCCTTCCCACCACCAATATAGTTCCAACTGTTTTGCTTCTTCTCTAGCACTTGTTTTTTTTATTTTAGACATTCTAATACTATGTAGTTGTATCTCACTGTGGTTTTAATTTGCATTTCCCTCATGTCTAATGATACTGAACAACTTTTCATGTGATTATTTGCCTTCCATGTATCTTCTTTGGTGAATTGTTCAGATCTTTTACTCATTTTTACTTGGGTTGTTTGTTAATGTCAAGCTTTGAGAGTTCTTTATATGTTCTGATAGAGTACATCCTGAGAAACGCTGGGCTGAAGGAAGCACAAGCTAGAATCAAGATTGCTGAGAGAAATATCGATAACCTCAGATATGCAG